TTAATTAATTTGATTTGCCCTACAAACATCCAAGGGCTAGAACTGATATAGTAGAGGAAGATCAGATCTACTTTTTCAGCAGCAGTGAGGAGTTTGGACTGATGAAAAATGATCATGAAATCACACCCTAAGTTAAGTACGTGCAAATCCCAGTGTGGACATCCTAATTTAATGTCCAAGGACCTTAAATTCAGGTTAAACCAGTTTCCTTCTCAAGGCTAATAAAAGTTAAAAAAAAATAAATAAATCTAGTCTGCACACACTGTCCATATGTTTTTGGAAGCTGTTTATGGAAATGCCATCATAGTTCAGAGTGTAGGATATCTTTTGGATATAGTGGTAGAGCTTATTGGTCTCTATGAAGTTGCATAATTATTCTTCAGTTTTGGAGGTAAGAGGACACAGCAGCTGCAGATCTTGTACTTCAAGCACAGGTTTAGCAAGGGAAAGAAATCTGCAAGCCAGCTGTAATTTTCAAATATGATGGCAAACCAAAGGCTGTGCATCTTAATAAAAAGGCATGGGGACACTGATTCACAGAGTATTTTAGTAATGTCAGTTTTCTGCAACTGAAAGCTCAACTGAGTGTTGAACTGTTCAATCTGGAAGTGTTGCTTTGAGCACCTTTAATTCTTCTGCCCTCTGGATGATTGTTAATTAGGCTTTCCTTCAATATTATTGTTTTGGAAAACGCCGATCAATTATAAACAACTTCAAGTCAAGAACAGAAGGGTTCTTGGTGTGGGTTTTTTGTTTGGGCTCTTTCTTTGTTTTCGTTTGTTTGTTTGATTTGGGAGGGAGGTGTCCTTTTTAGATCAGCTGTGTCCTACAGGTGCATTCAGGTACTGATATCCAGTACTGTAGGTTCAACAGAACACACTTGGCTTTTGTCTGCTCTGCAGATTACTGTCAATTGAAGAAAGACCTAAGACCTAAGCTGCTTGACAAGGTAAAGCAGCTCATTGGGAAGTCTGAGCTCTTGACTGTGTCTGGTTTCTGAGTGGTTTCCTGTAAATTTAATAATGTAGTTAGGGTATCCCCACTTTGTAGTGCAGTCTTCCCTAGTGTACTTCAGAACTAGTTAAAGTGTATCTGGCATTCCTAGTAATAGCGAAATAGACTTATTTAGCAGCTGCAGAGGTCACAATCAGGGCTGCTGTTGACAGCCTTTATAGACTTTATAGTCTCTTTTTCTCAACGGATAGGAGCTCAATTTCTGGAGGGTGTTTGTGAGTCTGTCTTACAGATTACATTTAGCACTGATACTCTTCTTTCTAAGAATAATTGAAGTCAGCAGTAAATATACTGTTGAGCTCTGCTGTATCACTTTTCATGAGGGCCACTGCTATTCTTAGCCAATTAAAAACAAACAAACAAGCAAAACAGCACCAAAATTAAAAGCTGTTATGCATATCAAATGTTATGAAAAAGCAGTCTCTGTAATTGGTGAGAAACATTCACAATATGAAGACAACTATCTCCAAATTTCCCTAGTTGAAATATCAGTCTCAATGAAATCTTCGTGTTGAAGTTCAGTGAAAATTGGGTGTCAGAGTTGTGACACCCCTTTTTCTGTAGAGAGAGACAATCAATTATTGTATTAGTGTATCTGCTCCTTTGTTCTGAGTCTGTGGAGAAGGGAAGAACTGCTGTGGAGCAACAACCCTTCTCATTTTCTCTCAAGATAGTCTGGGATGGAGAATGAACGAAGCAAAAAATTTCTCCCACAAAGCAGGTTGTTCCTTTATATGCTCCTAAAAAGCACACTCCTAGAAAATGTATTTGCTCTTTATTGTGTAGGAGAGGTACAGGATAGGAATGGACTGAGAAAATGTGACCATTTCATGCAGCCTCATGAATTCAGAGCTCAGTGGTGGGTGCCAAAATATTTAGCCTCATCTCTGCATAGTAGAATTCTGCTATGGAAAGGCATGTTTGCGTAAATCATTAACACTTTTCTAGGATGAATGTTCAAAGATGTCAATCTTAATAAGTTCTTATCAATACACTCCCTATTGTATACAGCAGGTTAACAAGATCTGCCTTTCTCCTTTGAGAATGCGTTTAGAAGAGTGTTCTTCATGCCACAGGATAGAAAAAATATTTTCATTGGTTTGTAGCCTGTCGTTTTTGAAAGTTTCGTGGTCTGGTTGTTTTGATTTGTTTTTTTTATAAAAGGCCTCTCTGAAGTTTTTCTTTTTTGTTCCATCAGTGTTTAAAAGAAGAAAGAGGAGAATTCAGTGGGAAAGTAAACAGTGGTGGAGGAGAAATAGGCGTGCTTTTTTCCTGCCCTCTGCATTGTGTTGTGTCAGCATTTCTCTTCATATCACTTACGAAACAAGCCAGTCAATAATATCTGCTTCAGAGGAGCCAGAGTTCTTCTATAATAAAAGGAAGTCAGCAAGATACAAAGCTATTTTCTTTTCTGTACTCTTTAGGTGATCTAGTTGATAACTGAATGCAGTGTCCCTCTCCGAACTGCTGTTTAGTTACAGCATGTGTTTAACCTTACAAGTGTTTCTGTGGTATAGCAGTGCTGTGATTTGATGGGACTGCAAAAGAGGAAAGATAGCTTGCTGGGAAATGATGGCACTGGAAATGGTGTGGTGGTGGTGGTCAGTGTAAGAGATAAGAGTTTGCATATTCCCTAATGCACCTGTTGTCATGTATGAGAAAGGGTCAGCTTCATCCATCCAGCTTTCTCCATGTGGGTCTTTGACTTCCTTTATATACCTGATTGACCAGGACCTAAGGCTCAGAATCCTCTAGCTAGCATTGCTTAATGTATTTCCCATATTACCCTTGCTGTTGCAGGTGTACTAGTTGGCCATGAAGATGGGGGGCTCTCTAAAATGCAGGACATAACAGAAAAATGGTATTTTTTTGACGCTACAGAGGTACTGTTAAAGTCTGAATTTTGATGTTAATCGTATGTAGGGACCCTGGGAATTGAAATACAGGCACTCACATGAATAGCTATGTGAAGAAAACTCCACTTGATTCAAAGAAATAATAAGTTGTCATAACATTTGATTAGTGCTATCCAAGGTTGGTTCACAGTGTGTAAAACTTTTGAATGTCTTTAGAAGTCATGCAAGTTTCCTACAGAAATTACCCATTTTATATACTTGGGGTGGATTTGGCTAGAATATTTTTCACTGTCAGTTCCTTTTGAGTTTTGTTTGGTTTTGCAATCCTCTAAAACAGTCTAAATAGATATTTCCTGAACTTGGCAGCTGCTATGCAGAAGCTTACCTTCTTCTGAAGGACATTAGGAATTTTCACATACTTGCTATAAAAGGCCAAATGGAAGAAATACTTGGGTGCCCGGGTGCAGACACAGCTCAGTTGCTGTAGAAATGTTAAGCCAGCACAGTAAGTCCTGCTATTACCTAATGAAACTTCACACGGAGATTTATATAAAATGACACCACTGTGTTGGTTTTACTTCAGTGTGCCTTAATACTGGATTTTTAACAGCAATGAACGTTACTTTTTAGGGGATTTGATTTCTTGAAGTCCAATTACATGGGATTTGTTTTTGTTTGTTTATTTAAACTGTGTTGCTGAAATTGTGCTTAGTTCCAGAGGAAAAACATAAAGAGCATTTGCTGACATGAGAACTCTTTAGGAAATGTTTTTTAAATAATAATAATAATTTTTAAAAGGTTTAGTTGTGTTGGTTTGTTTTTTCTGATGTGTAATGGTTATGAAAACCTTGACTTAAAAAAAAATAAATGTGTAGATATGGATATCGTGGAAGAGACTGTCGAGCCAATGTTTACCTCCTTCCTACGGGAGAAATTGTATATTTCATAGCATCAGTGGTGGTACTATTTAACTATGAGGAGAGAACTCAGCGACACTACTTGGGTCACACAGACTGCGTTAAATGGTTAGTATATAACAATTGCATGTGAGTATATGTGTAATAATGCAGAAATGGATTTTGTATTCTCTCTTACTGTATGTGTATATGAGCTCATTAATGTCATCATAATTGTAGTTACTTTCTTTTTCATCAGTCTCAGTAGATTTCTCGGTAGTAGACATTGCACAAATGAACAGTGACAGAGCAGTCCATGCTAGCTTAGGGTTTCTGGCTTAAAAGTAAAACAGGATAGGCAGCCAATCTAAGAGTGCCAGATTAGAGAAAGGATCTTTGTGTAAATTATTCTAAACACATGTCCCAGAAATTGAAATTCTGTATCAGTGACTTACAGGCAGTATGGCAAAGGTGTAGTCTTAAAGGTGAGTTAGAAAACAAGAGGGAAAACTGAGCAACGATTTTTGTCATGTTTTGGTGGATTCCCCATCCAACTAGAAAGATGGTCTGGGAAATCAGAAAGATATTTGCAAAACCAGAGAATCAGGGAAGCCCGAGCCAATGTCATTGTGGGTATAAAGGCAGTTGCTGACTTCACAGTGTTGGTCTGAAGAACAGTGTACATAATGTAATTGTGAACGTAAGCTCCCTACTGTAACTGAATGGAGAAGAGTTGCCATCTAAACCTCTTTTCTCGTGGCTGAGCTTTGAGAACTGTAATTGCTTCCCATGGGAGGAATGCTGTCAATTTTATGTTCTTCACTTTCATTCAAAAAACTAGACTGAATTGTAAATTATTTTGGTGTCCGTCATTCTAAGCTCTTCAGGCCCCCCCCTGCTCCTCCTTTCCTGTTTCAAGGGCTTTTTTCACTTCTGTAATTTTACAAATAAAGCCAAAAAGAAGGTCAGTCCAAAAAATCACAAGGACTAAGAGGATGTGCACTCTGAAATCTGTTTTTTCATATTAGCTCCAAAGCAAAAAGTGATAAGTAAAAGCAGGTTTGTTCTTACACTAGTAGTGCACTGTACTGGAGAACTTCATTAGTACAATTACGTCAGTAAGTCATTTCAAGTGGCAATAATCCCTGACTCCTGGGTGCACATGCCTGCAGCCAACTTTTCAGCTTTTTTTTTTTCCCCCCAGGTTCATGTTATCTGTATTTAGTGTCAATAAATATAGCACATAACTGCATGTTAGGATGTTCATCATGAAACAATGTATGTTTTGTTACAGTGGACTCCTGATATAGTGCTTCAGGAGTAGTAGTACAGTACTATATACTGCTATATACTTTGATTTGTCAGAGCACATGTGGAGCTGGTTGTGTGCCAGCATCCATCTACCCACCAGTACAGTGTGTAATTAAATAGTCTGATGAAAAACATTCAAGCTGTCTCATTAAAAGTGGGATTTAGGATCATAAGTGTCTTCATGGGCTTCTGTTGAGGAAAAAAAAAATAATACAAAAAAACCTCTCAGTTTTGAAGACCTACGACAGCAAAAGCAAGTCATATTTCTGTCTGTCTTAGTCTTGCAGTTCATCCAGACAAAATTAGAATTGCAACAGGACAGTTAGCTGGAGTGGATAAAGATGGAAGGGTAAGTAATAGAGCTGTTGAGCAGTAGTATCTTGTTTTCAAAATTAGGAAAAAGTGTTGGGTTTTTTTTTGATTCTCACTGTGACCTTCTGTTTGCAGTTTATTTTATGCACTGCATTTACTGAGATATTTTGCTGTTTCTAAGGTAACAGCCTATATCTTTAGCAAACAACAGTAACAACTAATCATTCAGCCATAAATCAAAAAGAGCAGAAGCTCATAAAGTCCTATATTTGTGATACAGGAACTCAATTTTAATTCTGCAAGCAAATGTGAAGCTTGTAATTCATGTATAAGTCCACATCACTTCTGTCTCATTTCTTTCAGTAAGTGGAGTCAGTGGAAAGCAAGTCCCCAGTTCTGTGGGTCTTTGTACTCTTAAAGCTTAATGAAATAGGCAACCAACTTTTGAGAATTCATGAAAGGTGTGTCGAGCTTTCCTACAAAAGAGCATTTAAATGCTCTTGTCCCTGGCTATTGGTGAACTGTCAGAATTGGAATAATTGGGTTATCCTCATGAAGTTGCAGACAGAGGAAAAAAAAGAGGGGGGGGGAAGATAACTATGAGGTGTAGAAACACGTTAAATATAACCCTTATTCAGATGTCCAAATTAATTTCTTAAATTTTGTAAGAAATTGATGTGTGTTTTTTTGTATTAGACACTGTTAGGATTTCCACTGAGTATTTGACTGTCTTGTTAGGGCTGGTTGGTTTGTGGTTTGTTTTTTCATCAGTGGAATGATTTGTCATCACTTTCTTTGGTGAATGCTGGCCTTAAGCCAACTCAATTTCCACTGTATTTGTGATTGTTTCACATTTGTGAAGATGAGCTGGTTTGGGAATAGTGTTTGTGTGCAATATAACCATGGAGATTTTAACTGAGTGGTTGGTGATGGTTAGGGGACTTGGTGCACCAGGGTGTTGGGGTGTTTTTTCCTATTTTATGTATTAAAAAAACCCTGAAGTTTGATAATTATTTTCAGTTGTTGTACAAGATTGCTAGGTCTGGGGTCTGAAATGCAAGATGACGCTTCCATTATTTGTTCAGTTACTTAAATGGGGCAAAAGGTTTATTTTCACAACTACCAAATGCCACCATACCTGATTTCTAGCCTCAACAGCACCACTGCCATGTTTGTAGCCCAGACACAGGGAGCAAGATTGTCTTGACTCTCACCTTTTGAGCTTCAAGATAGCACTCAGTGGCATCTTTAGCACAGGTCATCCTGCATTTCAATCTGCAGTTTTTTGTAAATCAGGTAGCCCCTGCTTAGCAAACCTTGACACCTGCACGTGATGCTGCTTTCACTGTTGATGACGCTGTTTGTCCCGTTGCTTTTTCACGCAGCCTCTGCAGCCCCACGTTAGGGTTTGGGACTCGGTGAGCCTGGTGACGCTGCAGGTTATCGGCCTCGGGACTTTCGAACGAGGAGTGGGGTGTTTGGACTTCTCAAAGGCGGTAAGATGGGCGTGATCGTTTGGGGTGTTGAATGAGGGATCCGATGCTAAAATGGGAAGGAGATCTCTGGAGATTTTTTGCAGGTAGTTTTCTAGCTGATCTGTTTTGGTACTAAAAGTGTGTCAGTAAAGCTTATGTGTGCTTTATAAAAACAGCGGACAGCGAGCTGGCTGGTAAAACAGGAAATTGCATATGTAATTGTGGTAACAAACTAGCACAGTGAATAAACAGCAGGCGAGAAAAGCCTTACCTAGAAATTGAAGTCTGTGCTGGGTTTGGTGGTTTGGTTTTCTTTATGAGGGGCTTGGGTTTTTGTTTTGTGTGTTAAAAGCAAGTTTGTTAGTGACGTTCATGAAAACCAAATTATAGTGAGTTCTGATAGGGTAACTTTTCTTCTTGCACAGCTGGGGTAAGGGGTTTTTTATCCACCAACAGGAAATTAAAAAAAATAAATAATTATATTGTACTATTTTTTTCCTGTAGAATAAGTTGTTCAGTTTGTGCCTTTACTTTTACATGTAAGAAAAAAAACACCTTAAAAAAACATCTTGGTATTGGGGTCACAGGATTTATCAGAAAAATCAGTAGCAAATGGAGGTGAACTACTTAGCATTTATAAATGTCTTATTTCAAAATTGGCAATGAGTTTATTTTTGTGTAAAATATGTATATATTTTAATCCTTAAGCTGCCTTTGTACTTTTGCCAAAGGACTAATACATATCAGGCCTCCTGAAAACCCAGGCTGTGATTCTTGCATCCCAGCAAGAAGAATTAGTACATATAAAATATTCAGAAAAAGAACATCTACTGTATTTTGCTAAAAGAGGAGGGGATTCACAGGACAGCTGAGGTGAGAAGGGAGATTTGGAGATCAGCTCATCCACTGTCCTGCTCACAGCAGGCTCAGCCAGAGCAGGCTGCTCAGGGCTCTGGTCCAAGTAGGTTTTGAGTATTTTCAAGGATGGAGATGTAACAGTCTTTCTGGGTGACCTATCTGAAATAAATACGTACACATTGAAGTGTTGTTAAGTTAGTTTCCTCTAGCTTTTGTCTTTCAGTAAATAAAAAATTTATTTTTTTAAAAACACAAATAGAGAGTAGCATAAATAAAAGCGAATACTGTGAAATACTGTCATGCCTGTCGCTCTAATACAACTTTATACTCAGACATATATATATTTCAAGATTAATAAATACATGTTACATCATTTTAAAAAACAAAATAAAGAAAACACTAAGGAATTTTTTGCATTTAAGAAAGAAACACAAGTGGAGCTGTGTGTCCGTGCTCTGAGACCTGAGGAAAAAAACAGCCTATTTGCAGAATAGAAAAAGGGAAGAACCTCTTTGCGATTAGCATGATATTGCAAACAAGGAAAAAAAATCAATCAAAAATGCCCACAAAAAAAAAACCAACACCAAAAAAACAAACTGAAAGGGGTAGATTTGGTAAGATGCTGTTAAAGCTGTTAAAGCTTTCCTAGAATATTATTTGAAGCACAGTCATTTTTGTGAGTTTATCCTTATTCCCAAATGAAGTCCCAGATTTTATCTGTCCATCTGTAAGAGAAAAGAAAACAGATATATTGAGCTTAAATTTGCTTAAAAAGGACTTGATTAATTTAAGTTTGTACTTTTGTGGTTTTTAATATACTACTCTCCTGTCCTGTTTCTAAATACAGTATGATAGTACAACACTTCTTATTTTTTCTTTTTCCTGTAGGATTCTGGTACTCATTTGTGTGTAGTTGATGACTCTAATGAGCATATGCTTACTGTATGGGATTGGCAGAGGAAATCAAAAATAGCAGAAATAAAGGTAAATATTGCACAAATTAATATTCTGAAATACAAGCGGTTTTATTCCCATAAATACAGCAGTTTATGAGACGCATTTAATCTAACTTGGAAACTGCAATGGTGTAATGCTGCGGACGTGTAAGGGCACAAAAGAAATGTATTCTCAACTTGTATATTGGAAGAATTTTCAATATTTGAGTGCTTATAATGATATTTTACTCATAACTGAAAGCCAATCAATTTCTCTGATATTTTCCTAATTAAAAATCCTGGGGAACTTTAAGAAACTGAAGTGATTATTCGATCTCTAGTTGTTTGTTGTTTTTTTTTTTTTAAGTTACATTTTTAGTAATTCTTTATTTTCGTTTTTGTATGAATCAAGCTCCATACATTGATTCTTGGTACATGTGTCTCTTCTCATTGAAGTCCATTAGTACTTTTGTAGATTGCAGTCTTGCCTGCCTACCTCTATCTTTCATAGCCTAAATTTCTGATCCATGAGAAGAGTTCAGAGATGTTAATGTAAGCACTTGGTTTTCGTGTAATGTATATGGAATGGATGTGGAACTGAGTATTTTATAGTTCTCTTTAATCATGGGTCAACAAGTGGGATACTCTACAGACATATATGTCTATGTGGTTACAAACTTGCAATTTGAGATCATAGAATCAGCTTGGTTTTACCCTTAAAAAAAATTTATTTTGGCCAGTACTAATTATATTCGATTCTGTAAGTTTTAATATAATTCTAGGTCCGTATTTTTATTTTATTTCTTATATTACTGTAAAGCTATTTGGCATAAGCCTTGCATTTCACATTTTATTGCTATTGTGTTTTGACTGTATTCACCCCCCAGAGAGTTCCATGGTATTTCAGAATTGGCTAAAAACAAATTGTCAGGAACAGCTAGCCCTTCAGTACTTACTCATATTTAGGGCTTGATCTTGCAGTATCTTCACCACCTTCCACAATAGATACTGGGAGCAGAGTTCCATCCTTTGAACTAGGGTGCAAAACCTCTTCCCATCTGAACTTGATGACATTTTTCAGTCCTTACTTTACAAATTCTTTGTGCATGTAGCAGATCCGCACATGCAGAGGAAACTGTGTGTGAAAAGCATAATTCAATAAATACGGCCATTAACAAGAAACGAAACTTAAGAAGGTTGTTTTCCTAAAGTGAACAAAAAATGGTGGAGTGGGAAAGGATACTCCCACGGGTTCTGATTCAGCAGCACTTTTATGTATGTTCCTTTAAAGTATGAGCTTAAATCCCACAGAAGTAAATGCATTGATGCATTTACTTAAGTGTTTCATGGAGTCCTTGCCTCCGGCAGATTGTCTTCAAAGGCAGTTTGGTTGAATATACATTAGAAGTTAGATAAATGACCAATCAGCTTGTTATGTTTGTAAAATCCTATTGGTGTAGGATAAAATACTCACTGAAGTGTAAGTAATCCAGTGACAGTATATGCAGCCAGTAAAAATACAAATGTGGGACCCTGTGTTTCAGAGTTTTGAGTTTTGAAGGCTTCTTTTTTTCTTCTTCGTGAGGAGGAAAGCAGAGGAAAAAGAATGGTGGATATAATCCTACTATGTTACCATTGTCTCACTTGCTTCTGTCACATTTTGTTATCCAGAATAGCAGACTGGTCTGTGTAAAAACTAAGGAGGGTTTTCAACCCAAGTAAGTGGCCTTTACACATCTTTCACTTTCCATGGCAGAACTCTTAGCTACTCCTGAGCAGAAGCTGTTATGATTTTAAAAGTGAATGTAAAACCCTGACTTCTACTGAAGTTTTATAAAGATCTCCTATGAGTGTAAAAATATCAATATATATATATGAAATGGTATGTGCAATTATTCAGGCAGTTGATTTAAAACGGAACACTTGCGGATTCTTTCAAGCATACAATGAGCTGTGTAGTTCCTCGTATCTGTATTCTGAAACTTGGGATTCCACATGTATTTTTAGTAGTTAGTGCTCCATGAATAAATATTATTTCAATTATAATTTCAGACTACAAATGAAGTTGTTCTTGCTGTAGAATTCCATCCAACTGATGCAAATACCATAATAACATGTGGAAAATCTCATATATTTTTCTGGACCTGGAGTGGCAATTCATTATCAAGGAAGCAAGGGATATTTGGGGTAAGAAATGTCTTGATATCAAGTTACTTTTAAATCAGTGGAATGATCTGCTCATGTTTTCTGTAAGTTTGCTCTCTTTTTACCATGTACTGTTTGAGCAGAGAGGTAAACAAACAACGAAGGTTAAAAAATTCTGATTAAATGTATTCAGGGTCTATGGGTGTGGATACATGATACTAATTACGTAAAAATACAAGCAGTTATCCCTTTCTTTTGCTCATTTTGTTTCAGAAATATGAAAAACCCAAATTTGTTCAGTGCTTGGCTTTTTTGGGAAATGGTGATGTGCTCACTGGAGACTCAGGTGGGATAATACTTATATGGGGCAAAACTACTGTAGAATCAACTTCAGGAAAAGGACCTAAAGGTAAGATACATTCATAGTTAATCACAGTTTTTATATAGTTTGTAGAAGAGAAACATAAAGGATTGCATTAGAAAAGGAACAGGGAAAAAGGCCCAACTAAGGTTGTTTGCTTCTTGGTGGTACTTCAAGTCGCATGCTGACTGAATAGCAATCTGAATAATTAAGACCGTACCTGAAGTGAATGAAAACTACGTTATCAAAATGTTTTGCGTTTAAAAAATGTGTAGTTAATCAGCTTTCCTTTCATCCTGTCATTTGAAAAAGGCTGTAGGATTGCTTTGAGGATTTTGCAAGCTACTTTTGCCTCTTAAGGTTTATGCTGTTCCATGCTCAGTTTCAGAGGAATACCAGTAAGCGTTTGAAGCTGATGTTAGTAGCACTCATATGTGAAGTAAAAAAAGAAAAAAGCATAGTTATACCAGTTATGCAAATAACAGTATCTGATTCAGTAGATATTCCAGTCTTGGCTGTAAAATATACTGTAAAACTTATTTTCTTTGTAATTTGTGTTAAACTTACTCTTTAGGAGAAAACTTTTGTAAAAAAGAAGGGAAAATTATTTGTTACCCAGCATATGCAGACCTGGCACAGTTAAGCCCTAAGGTAACTTATAAATTCAAGGATAATTTATTTTACTTGGCAGCTATTTCAAACGCTCTGGTCTAAAATGGTATGCCAGGAAAACATTCATGTAAAAAGTAAATTTTCAAAGGTATGTCTGTTTTTGTAGGTAAATCTTCTCATTCAAGCTAACTGCTATGGAAAAGTAATTTTACAACTTATCTAATGTTCAGTATTAAAGTTCTTGTGCAAAAATAACTTTTTCCCAGTATAACCTTAAAAGATATCAAATAGAACATTTATTTACATTGACTTAACTAAATATGGGATTTTTCAGTTGTTTTTTGACATTAGATTGGTCACAGGACTTGCTTAAAATCTTTTTCACAGTGTGAGAGCATGTTGACTGGAACAGACTTGAGCCATAGGCTGTCAGTGAAGTTAAGCTAGTATTTATTTTGGTGGTGTTTTAGGCTGTTTTTGTGATTGCTGTTTGAAAATACACAAGTCTCAAAGCAGCAGTCTTGCTTTTTTCCTACAGCAGTTCTTTTGAAACGAAGATCTGAAGAGGATGCAAAAGACTTCCTTTGCTGTCTTTGTTGTTTAATTTTCTCATCTCTTTTATTCTTCATAGGGTTTTCCTTTGGGTAGGCTGCTATATTGATAGATGCCAAATGCTGGTTGTGCTATTTTTAAGTGAGGCAACATCCAGCATTAGATACTAGGTTCATGCATCCTGGAAACTTTGCTATAAATAATTCATTTTTTATTCCCATAAGACTATAGACAGCAAGTCTTTGAGTTTCTTTTCATAAAGTATCTTTCAATTCTTTTTCTGATAATTACTTGATAATATTTATTAGCTGTGAAGGAAGGTTTCTCTTGTATTTGGCAAATAGTTCTTGTTGTTTTCAGAAGTTGTAGAGCAATCAATCTCAAAAAAAAATTTCTATTGAGAAAGGCAGCCTTTTTTTTATCATCCTGTAAGAAAACACTACCACCTTGTGTTTGCAATACTAATGTAATCCTAATAGCCTGACAGTCCAAATGTAATTATTTATTCTACACTGCTACTTTATTCTTCTGCCAAAAGAAACAGCTTCTTGTCAACCCCAGGTGAAAAAACAAGTGGTGTTCCTTATTTATTTTTTTGTGTGTGCATGTAGGAGTGTATCAGATAAGCAAACAAATCAAAGCTCACGATGGCAGTGTGTTCACACTGTGTCAAATGAGGAATGGGATGCTGCTAACTGGAGGTGGGAAAGACCGAAAGATCATCCTGTGGGATCATGATTTGAATCCTGAAAGGGAAATTGAGGTAAGAAAGAGACAAGTAAATTACTGTGAGCAAAGTATTGACTAGCAAGACAAAGTCCTCTTTGCCCTTTGGAGGATCTGTAGTTAGGATGATAGAATATCTTCTGGTTACTGTCTTCCTGAGTGGATGACAAATTGTTTACATTCTCACCCTATAAATGAGCCTGTAAAAGGCTCCCTTTTTTGAGGATATTCTTCAGTATTGCCTGTGTTTTTGTCTGGGGAAAGACAATGTTACTAGGATTTGAGGACTCTTAATAGAATTTTTTACATAAGGCAAACAATTGACGTGGTACATACGGTTGTTCTCTGGGACTTAATGAGCTATGTTGAGAATCTTGTTTTAGCTTTATCTTATAACAGGTGTTTATTGAATATGTATGTCTTTGTGATTTGGCTACATGGCAATTTTAGATAAGTGGAGATGAACTGGAAAAAATGATACATTGTGGATTTTAAAATACTGTTTTTTTCCCCTGAAATAAGTTGACTTCTTGAAATAATACGTAGTACTCAAACAGTTCTTCTAATAATACTTTACTCCACTTACCTAGTGTCCATTTTTAGCAGCATTTTTCCCTTAACATGTATAGTCATTACCTTGAATCTAATAATTGGCCTTAAGAAAACATGTCTGAGAATAAGTAAGCATTGACATCATGTATAACTCTGAGGCTTAATTAAGACTAGTCATATTAGTGTCTCTGTTTTCCTTTTGTTAATAATGTTGTATTTAAGCTAATTTTTTGTTTTGAGAAATATTGCCAGAACCCTGGCACACGCCTTTCTGAATTATTGCATTGATTTTCTATCTCATGTAGCTAATATTAAAGTTAGTGTGTTTTCCAAAGATATAACATTTAGAAAACCAAACACCTGCATACTGTGAAATAAAGCAGTGTATTAGAATTCAAGCATGCAGTGAACAATAAAATTTGGAGTTGTTGCTGACATAAGGCATATGAACATTTACTTAAGGCTGATCAGGAAGCATTAAGAGAATCAGGAAGCATTTACTGTGTGCTACAACATTTTCTTAATTTTCACAATGTGTTTTGAAACAAAAAAAAAGTAACTATGTATCATTCCTGTCCTTATATGCTGAGTTGTAAGGTTGTGGAGTGCATTTTTCTAGTGTATTTGATGCTTAAAAATTCATGTAATTTAATTTGGGTTTTTTTTTTCAACTAAGACTTATTAAAATGAAAACATTGTGGTTGTGAATTTTGAGTGAAGTCCTGATCCAGTGTGTGCATAATTATTCCTTTTTACTGGGGAACTGCAGTTCTGGTACTGTCATTGTGCACTATTTTTAGCCTCCACATATAAGCACCTATCAAGAAGCGTGTTGGGACTTTACAGGTGTTTCTTTTCCTAGGTTCCTGACCAGTATGGAACAATCAGAGCAGTAGCAGAAGGAAAAGCAGATCAGTTTTTAGTGGGTACTTCACGAAACTTTGTTTTGCGGGGAACATTTAATGATGGTTTCATAGTAGAGGTACAGGTAAGCACAACTTCTTTAAATTCAACCCAAAAATGTGAAGACTTTGCCTCTGGTGTGTTATTTGAAGAGAGTCTTTATTCATTGTTAAATCATGTGTGTTTTCTCTCCAGGGTCATACAGATGAACTCTGGGGACTGGCATCCCATCCTTTCAAAAACTTATTTTTAACGTGTGCCCAAGATAGGCAAGTCTGTATGTGGAACTCTGTGGACCACACACTGGAATGGACCAGGCTGCTAGATGTATGTCAACCCTTTAACATTATATATAAAGTGGGAAAACAGGAAAAAGCACTGATTTTCTAAAACACTCTTGTCCCATGTGATTCAAAAGAAGCAGAAATTCTGTAATTATGGCATTAAAACCAGCTCTTTGGGAGCTTTGGTAAACTTAACCTGGCTAATCAGGTATTGTATAGGCTGTAATCTGGTTACCATTGTCTGATGCCATTCTAACAATGCAAGTCAAGTTAAACTCAGTGCTGTTGTTCTTTTTCCCAGTTATTCAGACAGTTCAAGGAGGGTATCATACAAATGTGGACAGTTTTGGCTTGAGAAATCCTACCATACTGTAATTGTTCATTACCTATTCTGGCTGATTCTCTCCTGCTATCCAATTAGAAGCATCCTTTTACAGAGCAATGTAGGCCTTTTCCTTGCAAGATCATCATGTCATCCCTGTCCCTGAAAAATTAAAAGAAAATCCATTGGATGGTTGTAAGCATGCTGCTAACTAATTAGTTTTTCACTGTGTGAGTTCACCTCAGGCTTTTAGAGTAGCTTTGGTACAAGGAAAGATGTTTGACCCTAAGGAAGCAGCCGGGTGAATGACATGTCTGTACCTCTCCATTCAGGAACCAGGGCACTGTGCTGACTTCCATCCCAGTGGAGCAGTGGTTGCCATAGGAACGCACTCGGGCAGGTAAATACTTTTTGATTGAATTTTGAAAGTTTAAAGGAGACCATTTGATACTAGACATCTTATATATTGGAATTTATTTATCATTTGTTTGTTATTCTTTTTGCCTGAAGTTAAGTAGCTTAAAAAAATTGGGGAAAGGGGACGGATCTCCCTTAGAGTGAGTTACATGAAGACAGAAAGTATTCTTTGACTGTTGTTAGGCTGTTTTGTTTTTTTAACCACTCTTTCATGATTGTTTGGGTTTTTTACACTATTTTTTGTGAGGGTTTCTATGAGCACTGCACATTGGCTTTTGCAAGTATCATATATTTTATATATATTGCGTGTGACATTAGTTTGTAATAGATGTATCTTTCTCTTTTCCAAATCAAATGCACTGGCAACCTTCTAAATAGACACAGAAAGGCAAGTTAACTGGCTAATATTTTGATTTTTATGTAAGACAGTTCAACCTGGCACATTGCTGTATTAAAGCAATGTTGAGCACTTCACATTCATCCTTAAAATGGTTGCTTGTTTGAAAGCTATCAAAACACAAGCCAAATGCTTTAACTCAGGCTTCTAGTGGTGGAAAAATGTTAAATTCATATCCGAACTCTGGCTTAGTATCATCTCCCAGGAAAAGAGTCACATGCAACAGATTTTTGTTTTTTTAATTACTTGAGGTAACTGGGTCATACCATGTTAGATAAATTTATGATGCTGGCCTTAGGGGTTTTTTTGTTTTGTTTTGTTTTGTTGGGGTTTTTTTCACTGTTCTTGGAACTGAGCAGTTATATTATATTTCATTGCATTCTGAAATTGCATGACTCATTGATAGGTTTGATATATACAAATGAAATTGAATTGAAATGAGGCCTGCTGAGTGTACAAGTGTATGAGAAATAAATGGAGTTGTGAATCAAGATAAACAGAACAGTTTTAAATTTACTGCCTAACCAGCAGCATTACACTGTGTTTTCTGAGCCAGATAATCCAGTCCAAGGGAGTTACTTCCCAAGGAATGAGGGCTGCGTGATGTATCTTGATTAATGTATGAGAGAAAATAGTTTCAGGCCCTTGACAAGATATTTAATAACTTACTTGATTCATAGCCCAAAATGCATAAAGCCAATACTAAATTAGTCTAATCTGTTTAGAATTTGATAAACCTTGGATGTGACTATTGTTGTTCTAGTGTTTTCTGCTTCCAGTGCAGAGGTCAATAAGATAGGGGTAGGGAATGGAGCATTAAGAAAGTTGGGTTTGATGATTAAAATTCTGACATCTGAAGAAAACTGGATTTTCTACCTCTCTTCCCATTCTTTTTGGTTGTTGCTCAGTGGTGTGTTTTTATCAAGCAAACACATCATGTTTTTGGTGTACTTTTCAAATACAACTTCCCATGAGAAGTATCTCAGTATCATTTCACTTTTTGGGCTGTCTGGAAGTGGTCTGCTGCAGGTTTTGTTAACCACTTATATCAGTGCCTGATCATCGATTGTCTGTGATTAAGCCTTCTTTAAAGAGAACTAAAACTTTTTGTGGATCCTGCTGTTTGCTGAAAAAGCACAGCTGAAAAGCTAAAAAGGGCTGGCAATCAGAAATCCTACGAAAAAAAGTGTGTTTTCCAAGGCACTATGCAGATCATTTTGCCATGCTGCCAGTCATATTATTTGCAGGGAAGTGACTTTCTGTAACTAATTATTTAGAACATCTTGAGTGCTAGGCACTGCAGAAGAAAAAAGACTCTTTCAAAAAAATGAATATTTTCAAGAAAACTAAAGGCTGGAGGACAAGACCAGCATAAGCCAAAGCCCCAAGGAGATAAATCAGTCAATACTGCTGTTGAGATTCATACCTGTTCATCACCAGTTGTGATATTAAGATGAAGAAGCCTAAATAACCCAGGGAACCATCTCGTAAGATGGGTTGATTTCTTTATTCTGATTAATACTTTGCAGATTTAACGTTCAGTATTAACTAAATGAGGGAAATGCAAGTGTAAGTGCAAAAATAAATGACTGCTTTGGGATACCATTTCCCTGGTGTTTTAATCAGAAAAATTCAGTATTCACAGCTGTGAATTATCAGTAATAAATGTCTGTCAGGGATCAGAATTTGTTTTCCAAAAGAGAGTAGTTTAAGGGGGAGGGAGGGGCTGTTTTTTTAGTTATTAGTATTTTTTTTAAGAAAATTAAGACAAGAATGGCAAAAGTTCTCTTTTGTTTACGTTAACTCACAAACATATTATCCTCATTAATAATTGGGAGAAAGTCAATAAAACCCAGACAAATCAAAAGAGCTACTGTCTTACAACTGTGGTACCACTCATCCATTTATTTCATCCAGTCTATGGATCCAATCATCATAATCTCAAGGTAGACCAGAGCTGCTCATGAGAAAGGCCTGTGTGAGGCATGCCAATGAACTGCCGTAGCTGCTAGACTGGAGACCTCCTTCATGGAGACTGGCTTGTGGAAGCGTTAAGAAACAGCTGAACTAAAATGTGACCTACGCTTAGCTTTCTTAAATTAGTACCAAAATTGTCACAGCATACTGTTTCCTCAGTCAGCTAAGATTGCTCCTAAGAACTCCTGTTCAGTACAATTTTTGGAGAAGGGCTGGTGTCACTGAATGCTGTCCCTGCTGCCAAATGAAGTTCAATGTGCATGTGTGAGAGCACCAGCAGTTTTGCGTTGGTAGCATTACAATATCACCTCTGTGCTTTCAGATGATGAAAGAAAGAAGATGATGGGGTTTTGTGTTTTTCTGGTTGCAGTTTAGATTGGATATTTTTATTTTTAAATAATATTACCTGGAGGATGACCTGGTTCAGGGAACAGACTCAAAGGACCAACCCAAAGAGCCAGTCTCAGGACCAGCTTCAAGAAGCATGTTTCTGCTGCAGCATCATCCTAGTTGTGTATTTTGGGACATAGATGGCTCAGGTTTCCCTTTGGCTGTCTTGAAGAAGCTCTCTGCAGCATGGTCACCTGTGAGGGAGAACATGGGGGTAACCATTCTCTTTGTGGAGGAAGAAGGCTGCTTTTGGTTGCTACTGTGCTCATCAGAAGTTTTTATACCCAAGCACTGCAGTTACGCTGCTCAGGATAAACAAACAGGCATCGTGCTGTGTCATCTTGCTAGATAAATAGATTTTACTGTACAGTGCCCAAGTTTTCTGGCAAAAGGTCTTCCTATCTCCTGTTTTGCTGAGTATGCACAAGAGGTGTTTTGCCTACCTGGGCTTAAAGCTGTGAGGAGCTTCCACCCTGGTCTGGATTCAGGAAAACACACATAAAAATGAAACAGTGGGGCAGTGGCTTTCAGACCAGCTTCCTGTGTGGCCTGAAAACCAGTTTTCTTCAACTCATTGATGCCACCCTGCATGTTCTTCACTCTTGTCTTGTTGTTCCATCAGGGTGTACTTTTAGAGCAGTTTTATTGTCATGATGGAGTGATTGTTTTTCTTTCTATGGTGGCAAAATGGCATAGATGCCCTCTCGCTCTCCCCCTGCCAAACCCTATTATGGCTTTGGATCTTTGGGCTTTTTAAAATTAATTTTGGTTGGTTCTTTAATGTCTACATCCTTGTCAGACCTTGACAGGCGTCAGAGGTGGGCCTGTGCAAACTATATGAAGTTCAGTGAGACCAAGTGCAAGGTCCTGCACGAGTCAGGGCAATCCCAAGCACAAACACGGGCTGGGCAGAGAATGGATGGAGAACAGTCCTGAGGAGAATAACTTGGTGGTGTTGGTTGATGAGAAGCATAGCATGAGTTGACAACATGTGCTTACAGCCCAGAAAGCCAACCATGTCCCAGGCTGCATCAAAAGAATTGTGGCCAGCAGGTCAAGGGAGGAGATTCTCCCCCTCTGTTCTTGTGAGACCTCACCTCAAGCACTGCATCCAGTGCTGGGCCACCCAGCACAAGAAAAACATGGAGCTCTTGGAGCAAGTCCAGAGAGAGGTACACAAAGAAGATCAGAGGGCTAGAGCACCTCTCCTACAAAGGCTGAAAGATTTGGGGTTCTTCAGCCCGGAGAAGAGATGGCTCAAAGTGAGACCTTATAGTGGCCTTCTGGTAACTGAATGGGCTATAGGAAAGCTGGAGAGGGACTTGTAGCAAGAGGACAAAGGGGAATGGTTGTTAGATTAAAGAGGGTAGATTTAGGTTGGGCATCAGGAAGAAGCTCTTTCCTGTGAGAGTGGTGAGACAATGGCACAGGTTGCCCATGGAAGTTTTGGGTGCCCCACCCCTGGAAGTGTTCAAGGCCAGGTTGGATGGGGCTTAGAGCAACTTGGTCTAGTGGGAGGTGTCCCAGCCCATGGTAGGGGGGTTGGAACTAGATGATCTTTAAAGGTCCCTTCTGACCCAAACCATTTTGTGATTCTGTAGAGTTTATCAACCAGGTAACATTTTAGTGAAACATTTGGCAGGGCTGAAGGGGGGCATAGTTTGAACTAAGTAGCAAAGTAGCAGCTTAGAACTCTTAATGTATTCAGAGAACCTGCAAAAAGCTTCTTTGTGTAGATTGGAAGAAATAAAAAGTCCGCTTTCAGCAGGGAATTACAACAGAGAAACTGTGTGTGGTTTGTACTGCTGTCCAGTGCAAACATATTAGCTGGTTTTCATCTGTTTTGCACACAGATTATTCAGCATTTCATGCCGTGTGGGGCTGGGGATTTTTACGTGTATGTTGTTTAATTTCTTTTATGTGGTTCTCTAACCACAAGCTGGTTGTAAGCCACTGGGACCAGGCCACTTTCCAGATACCTTAACTGCCGGACACTAGATCAACGAGAGCTAGAATCTCCATCCATAGCGATGTGCGTGGTTGTTCCTGGAGTTTACTTTAGGTTACATAAGCTTGTTATGGAATAAATGGTCCTAGCTGTCATGGTGTTCCAGCAAGGTCACTGTGAGACAGTGGATGCAATTGCCACTCACTTCCACTAGCGACGGAAACCCAGCTGTGGCATATGCACACAGTTGTGAGGTGAGAAGTTCAGAGCAAAGAAATAAAGTTCTGAGTATAGCTTTAATGTATTTAACCATGTTCACTGTCTTTGTTTTGTTACTATTCACTGTATTTAGGAGTTAGGTGGGCACCAGAACTGTTGCAGAAATGCTGAGATTCTGCCCATCTTGACTGTCTTGCTGTCAGTGGCCGTTTTGGTAAATGGGCCACTGAGCTTTTTACATATGCATTATAACTAACACAGCAGGTTAAAAGTTACCCTTATATAATAAAAAATGCAATTAATTACCTTAGTTGTAAATAATCCAAGCAGGAAATAATTTTTAAAAGCCATGTTATGAACCATCAAATTTCAGTAAATGGTTATTCCATCTTAGTTTGATAAAATTCTTCATAGAAGTGTCAGAGACAGAGGAGACAATACCAAGTAGAATATACTTTTTGTTTAAATTAGTATGGAAATGTTTTCCACTCTCTCCTGCTACTTCTGCTTTTATTTATTTTTTTTAACTTCATGCAAATGTAAACATCAGTTTTTACATCAGAGCTGCCCTTTGAAATGGGGAAGAAGTAATAGATTAAAATTCTGCTGTAGCCTTAATGCTTCAGGGCGATAAGATGGAGTCATATTAGCTATCTGGTGGCATGTTTATAATGCAGTAGACATGTTGGTGATTACTACAGTGTTCATGGGAGGGAGTGAAAAATTGGGCTGTATTTAGAATCTTTTTTAGATTCTTCTGAGAATCTTGTATGGCTTTGTGGACCAGAAAAACATTCCATTAAAAACAGGTGTTCAGTGTGCTGCTCTTGAGGGTCTAGCATGAGAAGATGAAGGCAGGCAGAGATTATTGCTTTTTTGCTTGCTTTTTTGTTTAGTGGAAGTGATACTCATTGGAATTCTCCTCTCTCTAGGTGGTTTGTTTTGGATGCAGAAACGAGGGATCTGGTTTCAATACACACTGATGGCAACGAGCAGCTCTCAGTGATGCGCTACTCAGTAGGTAGGCAGATGTACTTTCAGAATAATTGCTGATAAATGAGATGTCTGTTCTGTTAAACAGTGTTGAACTACTCTTCAGTCACTAGAAAAGGCAGAGCTTTCAAAGAACTTGTTTAAGATGCTTAATATATAACCGAATACTTGGTTACAGATTTGTTAGTATATGCTAAATCTTGGAGTTTTGTGACTGCAAACATTACAGTCACCTTTCCTAGCCTTTCCTTGGTCTTTAACTTGCTGTTATAATAAATGTTAGCTTTGCTCCTAGAAAAAAATAAATAAATTATCAACTGATTAGTTGACAGTTTAATACAAAATCTGTAAAAAGCTTAGCATCTTGGTGATATTTTATTGTTCTTCTTGGTTAATTTTGGAGTTTAGTTATACAAAACTCAGGTCTTTCTGAAACTCAGAGCTGTTTGTCATTTGCTATGGAATTATGTGATGTCCAAGCTAGTTCTCTTCAGATGTGACAGGACACATCTTCAGGGGATGTGATTCTTCTCTGTTAAAACTGGATGGGAGAACAGTCTTGTAAATCTGTTTCTTGTTTGATTTTTGATAACATGCCATGTCAGTGGGCAAAATGTTTCTCTGCTGCTGCCATATCTGCCAAGTTCAGCATTTGGTATTAAGGCATTGATGTTCATTGACACTAGAGGCATTTGGTCTTGATTCAAGGCAACTCACATACCATTTTTTTTTTTTTTAGATGAAGACAGTGCAGATTAGAAAGCTGTTAATAATGTTTGAATGCTATACTATTATTTAGACACTATTTTGTGCTGATGTATATGCAATCTTCCCCTTCCAAAGCTAAGCTAACTATAGAGTAAATACTATTCTGTGTTTTCTGTGATGCAGAAAACTCAAGCCTGCCTCCTGTCCACAATTTCCAGAAATCCAGTGCAATCTGAGGATTTATACCACGTCCATTTACTTTAAAAAAAACCAGAACTTTCCAAAAAAACATACCCACAAAGTAAATGTATACTGACTGAAAAACAATGTAATGAAAACAGTTATTTATCCTTCAATAGTATTCAAAGCAGTCATTTGATTCAGACTGTTGTCTTAGTTACAAATCTGAAATAACATTTAGGAAGCACTCTGTTAATTTATATCCAACATTTTGTGTTGTAGATGGCACCTTACTTGCAGTTGGATCCCATGACAACTTTATTTACCTCTACGTAGTAACAGAAAATGGAAGAAAGTATAGCAGATACGGAAAATGCACTGTAAGTTTTGGAGCAAATATAATCAGTAGTTCTTGCATTTTGGTGTTACACATGCACTAAACTGTTAAGCAGTGGAACTCTGGGTTGGTGCTTTTCCATTTTTAGTTTTGGTTATAGGTTTTATGGGGGTTTTTTTCAGCATTGGATTGATTTTGAACTTCCATGTGATGCGTATTGCAACCCATCACGGCCCAGCAACAGTATTAACTGCAGTTAATGTTAGATGAAAACTTTTGCATCAAATATGACTAATTTGTCAGGCTATTGACGTTTTCTTTGAAATGAGAAATAAGCAGTGAGATGGAGTAATACCTTTTACCTATATGCTCAAACTCTTTTGAGAAAAAATATTACACTAGTTTGGATGTATTTTCCCCCTATTGTTAAAGTACTCAACTCAATGCAGCATCAGATGGTGGAATTTACAATAAGCAATTTTGGAAGTTGAAAATACTATTTTCAACTGTAATTGTTGCTACGAAATTTAGAATTGGGAGGTGCGTTAATAATAAGTATCTGGCACAAGGTAAACAAATGTAAGTGCACAAGTAGGGGAGTTTATATTCATCCTTGCACTTACCTGATGTTGTCCCAGTGCTAAAAAGACTTACTTTTTTTCTTAAGTATTTAGCTATCTAACATCCTGGCCTTAAGTTCAACTATCTCTTTAGGTTAGTGCGAATATTTCCTTAAGGTACATAGGAACTTTAATGGGATTTGCAAATTATATCATAAGAATAGGTTCACATTTGACGTGCAGAATTATTCTTTTTAAGAATGCATCCACTGCTCAAAGCACTTTTCAGGTTTGTCACCAATTGCATTTCTTATGTTTTAAAAATAAGAGGTCTTCTCAAGTTGCTTTGTTAATTTGAAAATAGGAGGTAACGGGACTGTAAAACTTAATTGTGGGGGTGGCATTTTTTATTGTTTCTAAGATTAATTTTTTTTTTTTTTCAATCATTATTTTATTGCAGTCTTTGATGCAAGACTTGCAGTGGAAACTGTGAGTTGAGGGGAAATGAACAGGCACTAGCCAGTCCTGTTGTGCTATGTGTGGTGTCTTTGAGAGGTTTCTACCCATCGTTTGGCTGAGGACACCCCGTGCTGCTAGAGCATGGGGGTCCAAAGAAGCCTGGGTCCAGCTGCTGCTGGGACACGTGGCTGCCGGGGCGGTCAGCAGTGATGGGTTTTCTCTGTTCCTGTGGTGTGAAGGGAGGGCTTAGTGCTGGCATTGGACACGGCCAGGTGGGAAGGCTGCTGAGTGTGCTAGAGACTCCTTGATGGCAGGGTTGTGGCACAGGTGAGACAGGCCATTGAGCAGCCCCTGAGCAGAGTGGTAATGGGTTAGGCATGAGCACAATGGTCGTGAGATGAGAAATCAGGTCTGCAGTCTTCCTAGGGAGCTCAGGCTGTGGCAAAAAGACTAAGCCTACAGGCAGGTGAGACCAGGGGCCCAGTGGGGCTGGTGAGGGCACCAATGGACAGCTGCACCTCAGTACAGCGTTATTTTTTAACCATAAAAGATAAAATCACTCAGAGATGGCTAATATTAACATGTGTAATGCTTAGCTTGTTATGTACTTCAAGGTCTCTGAGCTCTTTGAAGACGCATGAGATCATTTATTTCTGTAGATTGTATGTATAAGGTATCAGGAGAGAGCATACTGTAATTTTAACCAGCATCTGTATGTCTGTTTGTCCCTCTGCCTGGGCAGGAAAGAGACTTATAAAAATTGACATGGGAGAAATGAGCATTGTTACAGGCATTATGCTTCAAAGCAAGTTTCTGTTAACCATTTTGTTCAGTCTGAGTGACTGAGCGTAGAAGCCAAATTTAGCAACCTGGTTTCTGGCGGCGCTGAGCTCCCCTGACCCTTCCAGCCTGTGCAGAAGGCAGCGGCAGCAGCGCGTCGTTAGCTGACCAGAGCTAAGGCTGCCGATCGGGTTTCAGGCACCCCGTGCCTCCCCACTGCTGCCTGCCAGCTCGCTGCTGGGTCCACACCAGCTTGATGCTAAGCAGGGAGGCACCCAGGCACGCTCAGGACCCGGAGCGCTCGCCTGGCCAGTGCTTGGGTGCTGGCACCGGGCTCTTCTGGCGTTCTTCTGTCATTCAGTAGCCTCATGGGTGACCTCCAAGTAGTATGACTCATTCCTCCTGGTAGTCAACTTCTGGTTGTTTCTTCCAACTTGAATACATTATTTGAATACTTTCAGAAGGTTTTTATCTACTGAACCAGCATCAGCCTTATGCCTAAGGGCTGCATGCCCACTGTTACGTTTAAATCCCCTCTCAGTCACGACCAGGCTTTTTGCAGTTGCCAGAGAGGCGAGTCTCTGACCTACAGGCGTGTTTCCACAGTGAGGGATGGTGTTGGTTGTGATCAGAAAGAATTTCGGATGAGCCGAAACAACCGTTTCAACTAGTGCAGCTGTTTTTGAGGGCTCCAGCTATGCAGACAGCAACGCGAAGGTATGGGCTGGGGTATGAACTTCCAGCATGTCAGCAGCTCCAGGGTGGCTGGTGCTGTCTCTGTTTGCCTAACATCAGAGCCGTCTGTTAGCAAAGGAGAAGCAAGTGCCCTGCGTTTACTATGAGGGCTTTGGGGTGAAAGGGGCAGCCACACTGAAGTGTTTAATACCATGGACTTAACCTGAAATAATTAGTGTGCCTGTCCTATAAGCTAAGGGCATTTTCAGGCTTTGCAATGTTGAAGTTAGAAACAGATAAACATTGCAAATGAAAGATGGAGCTTCCATTTAGTCAAGTAGTTTTATTAGCCTGTGTTAAGTAATTATGTTCATTGTATATAAAGATACAGAAAAGGAAAAAGTCAAATACTGCCTTATCAGTGGGCAACTACTAATTTTTTTTTTTTTAATTAAATATTTAAATATTAAAAGGGATCATCCCATTGAAAATATTATGACAACGTTATGTTCCAGTTCAGCGCTTGGTGATGGGTTGTCTGAAGGGATTTCACAGCATGGAGCCCCCTGGCCAATTGCTTTGTTCCCTCCCCCACGGCCCCCAGGAATTTTAACAGCTGCCAAATGTCTGGCAGGATTTAGTAAATGACTGACCAATTCTTTTCCATGTTGGAGTTCGCTTGCAAATTTGAAGACTTGGAAAATAAATGGAGGGGGAAGAAAAATATCCTAGCCAGTTGTGCATTTATTTTTTTTCCAAAATATCAAGTTTGCACATCGATATCATATGTCCCACCCATGACTGCAGACTAGTTATGTCAATATACAGTTCCTCTGCTTGAGGCAGAGACTAGTTCATAAGTAAATAAACTTTAAAGGTTAGATTTTCTCTGAAATGTTTTTGCAGTCTCTCACAGAGGACCTGGGGCCAGGGAGGCAGGCACGGGTGTATTTCTACATGTAACTCTGAAAGCAATCAACATCTCAGAGTTCTCCATAGAAGAAGGTGGCCTGGTAGGTGGCAGTGGAGGGCAGTGCAAGTGCTACAGCAAGGCCCTGGCATGGCAAGTGCAGGCTGGGCCAAGGTACCTTGTGGGGGGCACCCTTTTCATAACGTCCACCAAGAGAAGGAGATTAATTGACATCTGTCAGTCAAGAAAGTGGCATTTTTTTGCCTAGAAGAATGACTAGGAAAGGGAGAAAATGGATGATTTTACAAGGGGAAGAGGAGCAGTAAGAAGAAACCTAAGGATGGAAGAAGAAAGTTAAATGAATGTCACTTGTATTCATTTCTTACCCTTTCCTCTACAGAAAAATAATCTGTTCCTACCTTATACAAGTTTGTGGCTTCTCTGAAGCCTCTCACATCTTTATTATTAATTTTATTTTTCTACCTATGAAAAAATTTATGCACAGGAAAAATATTCTGACCTATTGCACTTCAATTCTCACTCAAATGTGTGCTCTTGATGGTGATAACTAAGCAATTAGGCCAAAGTGTTGTGATTCATACATAGAAAAACCCGTGCCTGTAAGTAAGACTACTTTTGAAGCTGGCACTAAGCACTAACATGCACGCAGAGTAAGAAACAGCAGAAACTTTTCTGAACGCTTACAAGGGTATTGTTGTAACACCAGACCTTGGAGTTTTGGCTGGTGGTTGTTAACCAAGGTATCCTACGTTGTTAGGATGAGCAAAAGTTGTTTGAATGCGCATGCATTTTATAGAAATTATTTTGAATGGACAGAGAAATAAAACAGTCTCCCATCTGTCACGTTTCTCCTGATCCTGTGTAAATTACTTGCCTTTCTCAGTTAGTAGCAATGTATACTTTCTTAATTCAAGTACGAAATGTGAGTTCATCTGTATTTTAGCAATGTGCCTTCTAGGAGAAAATAATTTTGGAGTCTAAGAGAGATTACACCGTTTATAAGTGAAGAATCCACCGTGCGGTGGGAGAGGTGTGATGCCCAGCCTGTATTTGTTTAGCTGTTAGCAAGTGTGGCACTAGGGAGGAAGGAGCCTTTAAAGGAGCACAAGTGAATTGCAGCAGACCTGCGGAGGGGTGGGGGAGGAAGGGGGAAGGGGTGTGCTTTTTTGCTGTTAGCTGTCCCTTCTGTGGGTGCAACTTCTGCTTGTTTGAATTAAAACACACGTTTCACATTGGTGTTGTTGCATTCTTCTCCAGGGACATTCCAGCTATATTACACACCTTGATTGGTCCCCGGACAACAAGTATATAATGTCAAACTCAGGAGACTATGAAATACTATACTGTAAGTATGAAATTAAATACACTGGAAACAGAAGTATGTATTAGCTGTCAGAATATTTAGAAGAGTGTGTTTGATCAGGACTGTATAAAATGCTTACTGACAAAGGAACCAATTTGAACTTGTGTAACCTTATATCTTGATGTTATTCAGAGCTGGGTATTACTTAATGGCAATGCCAAATATAGTTTACTTCTTTACAAGGTCATAAATCAGTTTAACAGCACAGAATTTACAGAACAAGGGGTTCTATGTTTTGATGTTGGCCCAAAGTTCTGTAGATTGAAAATAATATATACAGTTGTCTAATTAGTGTCAACAGTACCAGTTATTTGTGGGGAATAAAATCAGTGGTTGTGTGCCACTGTTCTGTTCTGGCATTGCCTTTTTTAAACTTTATCTTGGCTTGTGGTGTTGAAAACTAAGCAAAGCAATAATACTACTTTAATGAGCTAGTTATAATAATGTTTTTGTGTTTTTCTTTTTTAAATATATGAAAATATGAATTTAATTGTGCTTATGTAAAAAATTCAACTTGCATAGTGCCTATAAGTCTGGTTTTAAATTGGTTTTTACATTTTTGTTTTTCTGTGGCTTTGACTAGATTCAAGAGGATTGTAGTTCTGTTCCTATAAAGGCAAGGAGAGCCATCACTTAAAATACCTTTCACCTTAACGTGTTATTTCTGCCTGTCACAACTTGGGTTTCAAATCTGGATAGCGCAATATTGCAGTCTACCATAAAGAAGTGGTGCTGTTTATAATTGCCTGTATAGGGAAGGAAAGAGCTGTGACCCGTTAGTACTGGGCTGGTATATTGAAAGACAGATGTTCTTTTAGGAAACAATCTTTCCTAGTTGGAAATTGAAAAGCAATCTACGGCTCCTCTGACAGTAGTTTCTCACTGTTTTAAAAGCATAGTTTCCTGAATGATTGATTGAATTTTAGCACATCAGTGGAACTGGTAGGAAGGATAAATTATTCTATTACAGGCTCTTTTAAAGCATTTTGTAGAGTAGGTGGCAAGGGACTCAGCTTCAGGGAAGTGTTTTTGAGGTATGTTGATCTGAAAAGGGACATGAGAAGTGAATGTGACTCTTAAATACTAAGCAAAGCTTGGTACTGGTTTGTCTTTGCCTCTACAGTCTTACTGCAGGTTGGTTTTAGGATGCTTTTATTTTCTGTCATAGCACCTTCAAAGAGCCCTTATGAAATATAAAATGACATGGCATAACACATTGTGCACTTTTTTGCAGGGGACATTCCAAGTGGCTGTAAGCTAATCAGGAATCGTTCTGACTGTAAGGATATAGATTGGACAACATACACTTGTGTACTAGGCTTCCAGGTGTTTGGTAAGCACCATTCAACTTGCTTTTAAGCTGTTCACATTGTGCTTTTGTTTTCCTTTGCTTTAATTTGTCATTCCAGATGTGCTGTTAATGATGATTGAGGATGGTGCTGAGATGATAGACCAAAAAGACTGACCACAATGCTTGTCTGTGATATAGAGCACTAGGTACTCTAGAAAGACAATGTGTAATTTATTTCTATTTAGTCTTGAAGTTCAGGATTTGATTTTTCTGCTGTCATTTTAGGCTACCAATTTTGGAGGCTCTGAAGCTAAAAGCTGGTATTTTAAAGTGCACATGGGCCTTCTCCTTTGCTTACCTTATTTTGGGATAGGAACAGGACTATGTGAGCATAGGGTATAGTTCATGACTTAAAATCATTACAGCACTTTGATACCTGTAGTCAAAGGTCAGTAATATATACTGCTTCTAAAGAGGAAAAATACTTTGAAGATTAAACAGATTCTTAACGTAGTAGTTTATTTTTCCAATATACAAAAAAATGTACAAAGCTGACAGATCTGATTTTGATAGTGCAGGTTGAGACTGTGGCCAAACTGTTCAAACAGCTTTTGCTGAAGGCAGCTCTGTTGGCCATAAATGAGCCTGTCACTTGTAAAACCAAGTTGTGTGACCAGGATGCTGAAAGTCTGACTTCCACCTCTGAGATTAGATAGCTGCCTGTGTTCTTCATGTAGGAAACATCTAATGCAGGTAGATCAGCGAATTCTTTAGAAGTGAGGGTTAGGTCTACAAACCTGTTCTTCATAGCTACGATGAGGTCAACTTTGAACATCAGTTTGTAAGTTGAGTAGAAGAATATCAGGTAAATCTGAGTGCTTCCTTTAATTTCTAACAGCTATCGTGTGTATTTTAGGACTGTGATGTACTTAATGAGCAGGTAGGATGAAAGGATTTCCTTTCAGGGTACCAAAAGATCTGAGGCAAAGCAGGGAAAATAAAGGGGTCAGAGAAGGAAGCTGTCACAGTTTGACTCAGGATCAACAACAATGCTCTCGAGCCCCTCTGCCTCCGAGGCAGGTAGGGAAGGAGCAAGATAATATTTTTCAGTCTATCTGGGTGAAGTAGAGAGTGGATGGCCATTTCCTCCTGGTTCTCTGTACAGGTAAGCCTAGGCTGACAAGAAATTGATCCACAGCAGACATTTAGTGACTGTCTTTGCTATTTTGACTGTAATAATAGTGCAACACAAATGCCTTTTGTTAAAATGGAACATCAGAAGATTCAAGAGACCCTAGAGAAAGTGAAAAGCAAAACTCTCTGACACTTAGACAGTGTCTTTCTCCAGGAACAATGAAAGAAGGACAGAGTATTCCTGCTCAAGAGACCCTAGAGAAAGTGAAAAGCAAAACTCTCTGACACTTAGACAGTGTCTTTCTCCAGGAACAATGAAAGAAGGACAGAGTATCCCTGCGGGATAGCCTTAGACCTGTAGTAGCCATTTTACACTTTATCCAGAGTACTTAAACCTACCAGAAACATGGAGGCAGCAAACGGTGGCTCTGTTGCTATTGAACTCTTACTGTGTTTGTTGCTAGAGCAGACAGAACAAAGGAAGCAGCTCTCTGAATCCCAGTGCTTTCCCAAAAGTGTCCTTTACTTCTGACCTAAGGAAATGAGGTTTAAAAGTGCAGAAAGAGTTTGGTTCCACATCTAGACCATTGGCTTTGTCTCTTTAGCAGCTGTCAGATAGAAGCTACTGGTGACTGGGGCCAGGCTGGAGATGAGCAGCTCCCATAAGCACTGTTTGGAAAAGCCTTTTAACTTTTTTGATTTTTAAAAAGTGGGTAAGTCTGCTGATCCTGTCTGCATTCCCTTTTGGATAAATCCAAACTTTAACCCCTCTGAATTAAGTTTGATTAGTCTCAACTGCTCTCAAACTCTTCAGTATGCCAGAGGACATGAAAGTAGATATACCAGATAATGAGATGTTATTCTGAGGCAGAACAGAATATATTTAAACTTCCTAGCCAGAATTCATCTTGCTTTAATTTCGTATTGTCTAGAAGTCTGACACCCTTTGCAGAATCTTAAAATTATGGCTGGGTCTCAGACAAAGGCAAGTATTTTCCCATTAAATCAGACAGTGCATCTAAGCCAACCTAGCAGGTAGTTGCTGTCCAGAGAAGTCTGGCTTTGACCCGAGGGTCACCTGGCTCAGGAATCCAAACAAGCTGGGGGCTGCTCACTGATGTTCAAGAGAGAGGGTTCAGTTTATGGGATTTGGGCCTTTGGGGTATGTGTTTTACTAATTTAGCTCTGTGGATAACGTGTCTGTTAGGCATTACACTGTTGTCAGCAGAAGAGGATGGAAACGCATGGTTCAGATGAGAATAGCACTGCTCCTTTTTGGCAGTTGATGTTACTGTGTTGGCTCAGCAGTATCATCAGTCTGCACCCCAAGCACTAGAAGTCACACTCTCCTTTACTGCACATTTCCCACGCCTTTGTCTGAGCAGATTGTTTTGAGAAGCTTACTGCTGATTAGCAGAATTTATTAAAATTGAGTGTTGCTGTCGTGCCTAATTACAAAGTCCTGTTATTTTATCATTTTACAGTATCAAGAACTAAGAACTTGGTCATATTAATGTCTGCTTTTTTCCATGTTTGCCTGATGCCTTCAAAGCAAATTCTGTCTTCTGACAAAGTGGTTGTTTTACCTTCACAGCTGCTGAAGGAATTTGTGAATATAAAAGATGTTTAATAAGAGTTGCAGTCTTGAATGTTAGTCTTTTTAATCTTCAATTAAAAAGAAGAGGAAATCATGTAGCTGTGTAGGACAGTAGGCCTAAGGTGGTTGCTGAAACTTCAGGAAACTGATTTGAAGTCAATTTTTTACTCCCACCTGATGACAGTATATTATCTAGAGAATGCAGGAGAAAGGTAAAATTAATTAATCTTGAGATACTTGAAAATTCTTAAATAGTGTGTATTTTTCAAACTGATTTAATTAATTCAAGAGCACTCAAATGTTTCTGAATACTTTCCTTAGCATTTCATGTCTTTTAAGTAAATTGCTAGCAATTTACTTTATTGACATTGTAACAAGCTTAGCAAGCTGTCTTAGTTATTCTTCAGAGAAAATTAAGTTCTTACTCCACTCACTGAAGAATGGAAAAGAAGAAAATTAAAAGCTATTTGTGATTTTGCTTAAAAACAAGAAAAGATACTGTTGGAGTCTTGAAGAAGGCAAGGCAATTCTCAGTTGCCTTACAGTAAAATAGTAAAAAATAGTAGCTAGCACATATTTTTTATTTTACCAAAGTCAGCAAAGGAAGAAAGAAGGTATTTTCATATCTGAAAATGGACATCCCTTTCAGTCAATAGGACACACAGGATGAGGGGTGAAATTCCTTATAACTCCTGAACTAGTCAGAAACTCAAGTCTGAGCTGTAAAAATATGGTACCTTTGGCATAAATTAATATCTTACAGCCCCTTGTTTACCTTATTTGCAGTTCATTTTTCAGGTGTAATCATCAGTTTTATTGTGGGAATCGCTAGGGCCTTTATTTTTTGTTAGAACTAGAAACTCTCTCCTCTCCCCAATTTGTTCAGTGCTTTTCATCCAGGCAATGTTGTTATTCTTTTGTCTAGACATATCAGTGTCATTCTTTTTCCTTAAAAGCATATTGAATTGTACTTAAGCACTTGACAACACTTACATCTATGAAACTTTTACCAGCTGAGTTTCTGTGCAAAGTACCATCTTTTGAATCAGGCAAATACTAGAAATTGCTCCAGTCTTAAAATAAAACTGAATTAATCTCTGCGTAGTGTGTGGTACCTGGGCTTGTTCCACGCTTCAGCATCAGTCTTGCTCTTTGAACACTTGTGCACAAATGAAAACATTAAATTAAGAGTTGCCAGTTTTAGCAGCAAACCTAAGATTAAGCTTTGAACAAGACTGAGGTTTTGAACAATAACCTTATCAAGCGTGAGAGTTTATCCTGGCTGAGACTGGGGCTTTGGGGGGGACAGAGGGCGAGGAAGCAGCATTAGACTATCAAAATATGAATGACATCTAATGCGATACATAATCAGCTTTCCAGTTAAATGTCTTATTTACCTTTTGTTACGCTTTTCTTCTCTCACAGATTTCTAGATTTTAGTTTTGCTTATGGATTGTCTTTTAATTTATTTCAAAAATTACCATCACTAAATATCTGCTCTGCTCTCTCATAGGAGTCTGGCCCGAAGGATCAGATGGAACAGACATAAATGCCCTTGTCAGATCCCATAATCGAAAAGTGATAGCAGTTGCTGATGATTTTTGTAAGGTCCATCTTTTTCAGTATCCCTGTTCCAAGCCAAAGGTAAGTCCAGACCAGTCTAATCAATATGCTTGTTTGCATTGCATGAAGCTTTCCTTGCCTTTCAGCTCTGTCGTTTTGGAACCTGGCAGCCAAATGACTCATTTGTATCTGAGAACAGTGCTAGAGACAAAAGCATGGTTTTCCCCATTAGGTTTATAATAAAAAATAGGACGTATAAAATATAAAATAATATGCCTAAAAGTGAAGTGGCAGTAGTTAAGTTCTGGAGCAGAGGCATGAGGCTTGATGCTTTCTTTTGGCTGCCCTTGTTGCTAACTCCGCTATATTTTGCATTAAGATCTCAATTTGTCCCAAGTTACACACCTTAGAAAGAGAGGATGTCGTGGGGTGGGGAGGAATGGAGGGAATAATATCAACATAATTCTTTACTTCTACGTGAATAAAGATCTCCCTTGAAGTGCTAAACAAAAATGGAAGTTGTTTTGGATTTTGGTATCGCGTGCTCTTCTAGTCAAGCATGTGATTTATCCTTCTGCTTGTTTTCAATAGGCTCCAAGTCACAAATACAGCGCTCACAGTAGTCATGTGACAAATGTCAGCTTCACCCATAGTGATGGTCACTTGATTTCAACTGGAGGGAAAGACATGAGTATTATTCAATGGAAGCTCGTGGAGAAGGTTACTCTGCCACAAAATGACATTGTTGTAGACATCAGTGCAACCAAAGTGCCCATCCCTGCCAGTGAAAATGCTGTACAGTCTCCTACACCTCTTCCACAGCCTTTTAATGAAATGAACCAAAATGAAAGTGTAACTGGCAGCTCTCCAGCTTCTTTGGAGAGCAACTTGGAGCAGGAGCAGTCTGCGGAGGCCAGCGAAGAGCAAAGTGAGGAGCAAAGCGAGGGGAGCAGCCTGGATCCCGCCGAACCGAGTTACGAGGAGCCCTCCAATGAGACGAGTGAGGAGCACAGTGAATCCACAGTCACTGAAGAGCAGCAAGATAACTCACCAGAGTCTTAATGCTCCCAGCTCAGGCGGTTGTTTTTTCCCTTGGTGTGTGTGCTTTCATTACAGGGTGAGGGTTCAAATAGGGAAAAGTAGCTGAGATTTCATGACCACTCCAGCTTTTGAGTTTCAGTGAGATTTTTAGTCTGAGCTTCAGTTCAATGTGTGGAACCATCCCAAGGGCTTGGTTTGATGGTCTATGTCAAGATCTGGTCACAGTTAGTAGTGGACATTACCATAGATTCATTTCAGTTCTGAAATTGCTGTCAGAAAGTGGCATGAAATATATACTGGAAAAAGGGTTAGCTCTGAGAATTAGCTCAAGTAGACCACCTTAACTATGTGAAAGTGCTTTCTGGAAGAACTAAGCTGCTGGGAAGCACTGAGCTGTTCCAGCTGGGAAGTACTGTGCTGCTTTTTCCAGGTGTGAAGACAAAACAAAAAAAACAGCCAAAAAGCTCTTTGTAGGGCTGTTTTCCTTTGTTTTTTTCTTAATAAGAAAAATAGAGGAAAAACAATGTAACAATGCCACATGTATGGCAATGCCTTCTTAATCTAACACATATGCAATTTTCTAACACTACTAATTCCTAGTGGAGTCTGGACGTGCACGCAGTTGGTCTGCCCTGGGTGCTGCTAGTTCTAAGGCAAATCCTGTCGAGGAACGGTGTCAGCTGTTCCATTTTCACAGACTGTTTAATAACAGACAAACCAAATAACGGTGTGTTTCACTTTTCGTGACATGAAAGTTGATTTAAACTGTAGGATGTAATTGTCTCTTCAAATAATTGCTTGCCTAGAAAGTTTGAAACTTAAGAGAGTCTTTACAGTGACTTTGATGTGAACAGCAGAGGAAGGATGGCAAGAACACACAAGTCAGATGGGCTCCAGAGTTAAACTTTAAACCTTCAGGCAGAATTTGCTCCATCCCTAATAGGAGAAATATAAATACAGTTAACTTAAATTATTAAATTGGTGCTTAGGATTAGTATATTATATTGATTATTTTTTTCTTCTGAATTTTTAGAGGTAACTCTAAGATGCAATCTCTTCTTTTGTTGTTTGTTTGGTTTTTTTCTTCTCCTGACTCCTTTAGCAGTTGTGATATTCATTAGTATTCAGTAATTTAGATTATGATGTGATTTTTGGTTTTGTTTTTCTCCTAGAGTTGCTGTTCTATTATTTTTGTGATTTTTTTTTATTTTTTTTTTTCCACCCCACTCCTCCCTGGGTTGCTCTAAGCTGTGCAGCTCTCATGTGGCTATACCTGGCCAGTTACGGGATATCTTGGCATTTATTATGCATTTGGAAAGTACTTTTTTTACAAAGTTTGTCAGTGAGCTACATTTTTTTTCTTAAGTGCATACGTTTCCTACTTTAAAAAGATAGAAATTTACTGACAGATAGCTATTTCCTATGTACTTGTTTATATTTTGATTACATAGAATTTTCTTTTTTAACTTGCTGCATTGTGCTGGTATTTTAGTTCTTAGTTAGAATATTACGTTTAGAAACTTTGGATGAGTTCATAAGTCTTAATTGTGCAAACGTTTACGTGATTGTGCCATTCCAAAGTGCATCAAAACTGTCATTCCCTTACTAGTACCTTCTCAGGAGAAATGCTACAGATCAGGTATTTAGTCATCATTTGGAAAGAAAAAACAAATGGACTCCCAAAGGACATTTAGAACATTTATATATAAAATATATAAATATATATATACACACACATATATATATTAAAAAAAAAAAAAAATCCTCTTGTTTACAACAGTTCCAGAAAACCTCAAAGTAATTCCCTTCAGATGGAGGGAGATATGGATTCCAAGCAACCCATCTGTTTAAACTGTGCTCTGTACATAGAGTTTTACTGGAGAGCTCTAGTATTCCTGACTTGCAAATTTGCCAAATAGCAGCAATGGAAGATAAAAGTCAGCTCATCAAAGTACTTGGTTCCAAATGAGGAATATGCTGTAGGGTTAGAAAATAATTGTAGTAAAGGAGAAAGGATTTTAGAGCTAATGAGGCACAGAGCTCTCTGTCATTTTTATGAACTCCACGCAAGCAACACATTTCTTTTTGGAACATCTGCCACCTGGGGTTGCCATGTAAAGTGAGAGTTATTGTTGTGATAAACTTGTGTTTGTAGTTCAGAAGACTCTACTAATATGCAAAAAGCCTTACAGCTTTCAATTGCTGGCAACTACTGTTTAACAAATAATTAAATCTGTGATAATGGATGGAAATGGGTGGGATTATGTAACTGTAGATGTTTTTAGAAAAATAATTGTGAATGAATTATGATTAAGAGTGTTTCATGTGAAGATGTTTGAGCCATTTCTATCTATCATGCATTCCTGTCTCAAGGCAGAAAATTTTGAAGATTAAAAAAAAAATAAAATAATCAAAATAATATATTGCAGTGTCTGTATCTGTTTTGGTTCCTTCTGTGTATGAAGTGGGTGCTGTGATCACAATTGCAATGTCTGGGTCTATGATTTTGGAATAACCTTTTTTATTTGTGCTTGTTTTATAACCTCCCAGGCTGCCTAAAATAAGTTAATTCAGCATTGTGAATAATGCTGGCACTCCTAAATACTGATCTTGTTTATTTTGGAAAGTTTTAGGACATTTCCCTTTTCCATTTTTTATTAGTCTACCAGCATTATCCTACTGGAGCTATTTGATGTGCAGCAGGAGATTAAAAATAGGTATTTCTCCTGATGCAGAGTGCAGTCTACCTTCCGGGGTTCTACCAGAAGCTTTCTTCAGGAAGTCATGTGAAAAGTACAAGCTTATTTTGGATATAACGTGTTAAATACCATGATGCTTCCACTTTCTGATAGTCTCTGTCCAATTCCAGGTGCAGAAGGTCACAATATACTGAAGATACTCCTGTGAAAGAATCTCAGTCTTCTAAAAGGCTTTTTGAATCATCTCAGTTTCTTGCAGCTGGTTTCTGTCCTTCACAAAGGAGGAGGGTGAGGTGGAGAAGAAAGAAACCCTCAAGATAGTCAAATACCTCTTGTTTATACTTCAGCACACCCACAACTTCATGTACCACTTTGCACTGTGGGCCGCTGTGCAGGTGTTTGTTTTTCTAGGCTCTGCTCCCCTTTCTCTGCAAATTCATTAGCAGGCTTTTGACACCTCTTCTCCTCGGATGCTTGGTAAGGTAGGACTCTTCAGGAAAAGCAGGTAAGCTCGTCTGCTGAGTCCTTCCCTCACTGTGGAGGCAGGTTGGGGCTTCAGGTGCCCCCTCTTGTCTGGGACAGCAGCATCTGCTGCCAGCTTAGGTAGCTGCAGCAATGATATTTGTCATGTGGAGCTGAAGTTCAGGGTAGAAGCTCCACTGAGACATAAAGCTATAATGACATCCCATTGTACATGATTGAAACTTCAAATTTGGCATTAAAATCTTGGCTTATGTTGCATAGTAAAATACTGGAATGTTAGGAAATGCCAAGCTTATGCATTCCTGCACTGTGGGTCCATATTGGGTGCAGGTCATGCAAAGTGATATTGCATGTAAAGGGCACTTTTCAGGATATAACTAGAAACCTGTGTTTTCCCCCCATAGAAGTCCCAGGATAGGTGAGAAAGAGGCTGGAGGTGTGGATGGGTAATGATGAGCCAAGCATTAGGTTTGATCTTACTGTAATTCTCATCATAAGAAGGACTAGTTTCTGTATAGGCTGCTTGTCAAATTCCTGCCTCCTATTTTCTTTTTTTTTATTTTTGTTATCCCTGGAATGCATAGATTCTTGCTTTGTCTCTGAAAATAAGGCAAAAATTAAAATTGGATTGTTACATTGAGTGCAGTCTACACTGAACAGTATCTTGTATTTTCTACTTCATGCTTTGCCCCGTTAGATTTGTTACACCCTCTTATATTTCCTTCAGTTGGATGCAGTATTTCAATTGAATCAGGATAAAAATAAATAGAATGTCCTTGTGAAATTTAAGCCTGGCCAGAGCCAAACAACTAAAAACTTCTCCATTCTGCTGCCTCATGCCAGTAAAATGTTGGTTCCTGGAAAGGAAAGGATTAATATTACATGAGGTCGATTTTACTTGTGCGATATTTGTGCTGCTTGTTTGCTTTCCTGCTGGGCAAGTCCGAGCCCATTGCCTAATCTTTGTCTGACAGATGTTTCATGTACTAACACTTTAATCAACTGAGAAAGAAAAACTGCTTACAGTGGGATAATACCATTTAGAAGGCTGGGCAGTGTACACATTTTAATGCATTTAATGTGTGTGGTGGTGTCATCTGCATACATGTATGCAAGCATCAAGCAGATAGGACTGCTCAAGGCCATTTTTTATTGGAAAGAGAAACAGGGATGACTTGCCACCACAATGAACTAAGAAGGTTTAGAAGCACAGGGAAAAAAAAGGCATTCCCAGCAGGACAGCAAGGCGAGAGGACTGGATTCAGGCCCAAGGACTTTGAAAGAAGGCTTGGTGGTGGGATGGTGGTTTCTTAGGTCAGGTCCCTAATGTTCTCCTGTACTGGTCTAGTTTCCCCCTCCACTGGGATGGGCTAAGCTGAAGCTCATGACCTGTCCTGTAAAGGTTAAAGTCTCCTAAGCGACATTTCACAAATGTAGGATGTTTTCAAATTAATAAAAAGCCCCTTCAGATGTCTGCTAACCTTCTTACCTTAAACTTCTTTAGTTACCTTAAACTCTCAGTATAGACGTCAGGTCTTCATAAAGAGACAAAAACTTGAAACTGGGAAGCTCGGCTGCTGCTTGGCATGGCTGAGCATGTTATATGAGTGCTGGGGGGTAGGAAGAAGGAATGAAATGCCCAGTTGAGGAGACACTCCAGAGGATGGATTCTTCCTGTCATTAAGAAAGGAGGGAAAAAATCAAACCAAACCAAAAAACTTCTGATACTGTACTTAAGGCACTGTGTCGAAATGAGTGAAGTGATTTTAAGGAAAGAAAGGGACATTATCTCTGGATAATTAAAAAACAAAACAAAACAAACCTGTTTTCCTCACCTCTTGCCCAAAATTGTTCTCTGCTAGGTTTTATCTGTATGCCAAAAAGCCTATAAGAGCTTTCATTTCTTCTATTACAAGTACTGAGTGGTTACAGGGTGGTTTTGAGAAACTTCAAGCTTATTGAAATGTTGGCCAGGTTTTATCCTTAATAAGCAATTCTAGAAGACTTGTGTTCTTCCAAAAAAAGTTTTACTAACAAACCAAAATCTGGAAAGAGTCTATGTCTTCAAGGGCTGTGTTCCCTTCTAATTTCCTCCTGATTTAAGTGTTCTGTGCCTTGTGAGCAGCCTCTGCCATGTACCTTTGCATTTGTCACGTTATTTTGCTCTTCTGTAACCACCACGCTTTGTTGGTTCTTTAGAACTGCTGAAAAAAAACCATTTCCAATAAATTCTTTAAGACTGACTTGTCCCAGCTTTATTTATTTATTTTTTTTATAAAGTGCTTTTAAGTGGCTATTTCTAGAACATGCTTTTCTGTGGTGAGCCAAGTAAGTGCTCCAGATAGCTCTTGAGATACTTCTATTCCTGGTTGTGGGATGTTTCAGAAATTTGATGTTTTTGTCATGCATAATTTGTTTTGCAAGTTGACCTTACTCTGAATCCTCCCTTTCATGCAGCCCACTCTTTATCCCATTGTACATCATTGCCTTCCCAGGCTAAAAGCAAGAAGTGGCATTTGCTTTTAATGCTGCTTCAGAATTATTTCAGCTTCCTTTAAATACATTGTCTTGTCATTCCAGCTAGTGTCTGTCTGTATGTCCATGTCCCTTTTTATCCCTTTTACAGCTCCAGCAGCTAAGAGATCAGTCCTTGCACAGACATTGATTTGTCCTTTTAGTCTCTCTTAAGTCCATTCACACTTTCCTATGCATCTGTAACTGCATATAGGAAAATAATACAGAAAAAAAAGGCAAAAGCTGTCTGCATCAGACAGGTGACACAGCTTCAAAAACTACTTAGTAGGTAAGTATTAAAATCCCTCGTATTTTGTATTACATAAACCAGTGTCTCTGGTGTTGTGTGGA